ATGAAATTATGGAATTTAAAATATTTTATTTAAAATGCATAATTGATCTTCTGTAAAATTGAAATCGTTCTATAATTAATTTGTCAAAAGTTCAGGTGCAATCTATATTGTTGCCCACGAATTTCGCCACCTACCGCTCACACCTCTAGTAGACATGATGTAATTCATTTTTTCCTTTATTTTCTTTTCTTTTTTATACAAATGTATTGTAATTATCCAATGATTAAAAATCAGGTAAAATTTTTCTTAACAGGTTAAAATCTTAATTAATTTGATCAAGTAAATAATGAAAGAAGGACAAGCTGTCAATCAAGCGTAAAAGTCAAAGAAAGGTACACACGCGACCGTTGGATTCGCCGAAATTGACAGTGATTGAGAGTGTTGTCATTGTTTGTGGGGTCCGCGGTGAAATTGCGTCGGTGCACGTGCATTGCACGATTGTCTCTCCACAATTATAATAATCACACTTCGCGCATACTCGCCCTATTATTTTCCTTACATTTATAGACCCGATCGTTAAGAACAGTTAATCACCGTCACTTACCTTTCTAGAAAACGTTCAGATTCTCCTTCCGTTAACGTCGGTGGTTTTTGTTTCCGTGAAATCAAATTGTCAATACTACCCCTTCCATTCCTTGGAAGGAATATTCTCACGAGGTACACGTGGCAAGTGGAGAAGGATTTAAAAGATGGTTGTCGATTGGGTTGGATGCTAATAAGTACAGATGTACTTACCGCCACGTGGTGACACTTTCTGCCGTTGACTAAACTCACTGCCATTATCTCTCTTTTTAATTAAATAGTAAAAAATAATAAACCATTGAAGCTACCTCGGTTTGCATGAATGAAAAGTAATTGAACTTGACATGTGAGGGGTTTGGTTCAGTAGGAGCTGATTTATACTCAATAAATAAACCAAATTTATGTAATAAAATATTTTAACTATCACCCGATGATTAATATTTTTTTTTTGAGAAAAACTAATAAAAATATTCTATAAACTGAAGTTTAAAAAAAATTATATTAACCATGTATCATATCAATATATTGCATATAGAAATTAAAACTTTAAAATAATTATTTTTAATATAAAAAAATGGAAATTATTAAAAAATAAAGTTTAAAGTACCATAAAATCGATTCTAAAATTCAATCTGCCATAATAATTTTTTTCCAAAATTTAAGAATCAAATTACATATTTGACGAATAAAATTTTCAATTAGATGATATCTTCAACTATATTTAAAAAAAATGTCTATGAATCTTTACCTTATCTGTATTTAAATTATGTTAACTATATAATTTTATAAAACAATTACGAAATTATTATGGGATTTTTTTAAACTTATTTAAAAATAATAATTTTAATTTAATTTTTATAAAAAATTTCAATGAAAATATAAAATAATATATTTACTTAAAAGATAAAATACATATAATATGTGATAATGTATAAAATAATTATATTTTGAATAGTTACTATTTTATACGTTAAAAGTAATTATCAATAGTAAAATTTTACAAGTAATACTTGCATTCATTGGCTATTATCTAACGGCTATAACAAACGGTTAACGAAACCTACTTTGTAACTAATCACCAACTTACGTCTAATTATGACGAGAATAACAGTAACAGGAGAAGCAAAAGGAAAAAAAGGTGTGATTAAGGAACCCCACTCAACGGCTCAAAGATCGGGATTAATGGTATATTCAACATCATAATAATGTTTAGTTCATGAAAGGAAAGCAAAAGCAATTAATGATTAATTAGCACATGCAATTAACTCAAAGTAATTATTATTTTCTAAAAACCAAAGTATGTAAACATAACGGACTTGGATATTCATTAGGACGTTGCACGCATTGCCAATTCCTTAGTTTACAAGACTTGGTCATATGTTTTTAGGGCATGTACCTTTTGGGTGCCTCATTATCTAGAGGACACTTTTGGGGCCTATGTGTTCTTCCTTTTAGGGTTGCTTCTCTACATTAATTATTATTATTATTATTAATGCTCCTTATTATATGTAATTTATGCAAAACGAGTTTTTAGATCAATTTTAATTAGAACTTTCAATTAAAAAGATTTAGTTTTTGAGTGCTCAAACATCTATTAAGAAAAATTAGTGATTTAGTCAATAAAAATGTTCTAATAAAAAAATAAACTAAATTAATCTTTTGATAAAATTTCAATTTTAAAATTTTCATTTTGGATAAATTATACATTAAGATTAAATTCTGGAGAAAAGCTACTCTGTTTCTCTTTTCACGGTGTTTAGATGAAAAATTATTATTTTAATGAAAAAGTTGGATTGGATTCCAATTGAGCTTTTATCTACTTTTGGTTAATTTGGCGGGATCGTAACTGAAGGACCTGAAAAACCGTTACTGCATAATATGCGCTTTGGCGCCACTAATAATAAAACAATAAAATAAGTATTATTATTATTATTTGCTGAGACAATCATGATATCATGGATGACTCTAGTGAGTCAAAGTTCCCTCAGGTAATATATTTCTTTTATTTGGGTGAGAAATTAAAAAAAAAAAAAAAAAAGAAGCTAGCTATTGCAACCATGGATAAGCTAAGGGTGTTCATCAAATTGTCTAAAACATTGAATCAATTTAAAAAAATTAATAGTGTTTTTAAAACTGAATTTTTAATTTGGTTTACATCTATTAAAACTACTTAAATTGAATAAAACCTATTATATAGAATTAATTTAAAAAATTAATAGTGTTTTTTAAAACTGAAATAATTTTTAATTTGTTAACATCTATTAAAACTGACTTAAATTTGAATAAAACCTAATTATATATATAATAATATATATATATATAATTATATCTACCTGGTTTTTTTTAAATTTAATTAATTTTTTGAAAAATGAAAAATTTTTCTAAAAGTTTTACTATGAAAAATAAAAACTAATCCAATTTAATAAAAATTATAAAAAGTTCTTTAAAAAATTATAATACAATAAAAAATAAACAGTTTCTTTAAAATATTGTTCTAACGAATTCAAACTAAGATTATCGGTTTTAAAAAAACTAAAAACTGCCGGTATGTTTTAAAAAAATAAAAAGAAAAAAAAAATCAAACTTTACTATATGAATTTCGATTATAGTTGTATAACCAAAAAATCATTGGAACTCTAATTTAGTGTCAGTTTTAACCGATTCAAATTTCAATTTAAGTTTGAAATTGAACCTGACCTGTTTTTAAATTTAATTTAATTTTTTTGAATGAAAAATTTCTTAAAAGTTACTATTGAAAAAAAAAAACTAATCCAATTTAATAAAAATTATAAAAGTTACTTTAAAAAATTATAATACAATAAAAAATAAACAAAAGTTTCTTTAAAAATATGTTTTCTACGAATTCAAACTAGAATTATCGGTTTTAAACTAAAACTGCCGGTATGGTTTTAAAAAAATAAAGAAAAAAAAATCAAACTTTAACTATATGATTTCGATTATAGTTTGAAACCAAAAATCATTGACTCTAATTTAGTGTCAGTTTTAACCGATTCAATTTCAATTTAGTTTGAAATTGAACCTGGTAATGCGCATGCACACACATGTACATATATATATATATATGAGCGAATCCATATTTTTTAATAATTTTTTAATAATAAACATAAAAATAAATCAAATTTTAAATTTTATATTTATAAATTGCTTAATTAATATCTTATTAAATATATAACTTTTTTTATACCATATTAAGAATAAATTAAAAAAAATTAATTTAAAAGCTTTGAATCGCTTTTAAAAATTATATGTATTTTATGGAATAGTTTGTATTAATTCATTGTCCATGTCTAGCATAATGTTAATTTTTTCTTGCTAATAAGATGAACGAGAAAGTTTAATTTCTCTTCATTTAAATCACCACACCGAATCAAATTAAATCAAACTGCTACAAAAAAATTTGATTTGATTTGAAATTTTGATGGTTTAATTTTATTTTATTTTTTCAAATTGCCACTTTTTATTGTGTTCAAACAGAACCATATCTAGAAGTACCAAAACATCAAACCATATCTAGAAGTACCAAAACTTTACTAGTTTTAGTTATTGAATCCTTAAAAATTTTATTTATCCACATGAAACCCTTATATTATTATTTTTAGGGACATTAAGAAATTATTTGACCATAAATCTTAGCAACGTCAAATTCAGTGTTTCAAACATTTGATCAGACCAATTGATCCAATTTCTTTATGAATCCGTTAGCTAAATTTAAAATACGATAAGTGAATTTTTTAACTATTTAGCTTAAGTTATAAGTTTGATTTTCCGCATCGCAAATTTCCTTCGTGCCAGTCCATTTGTCTTCAAAAAAGAGTAGAGATTAGTCAAATTTGTTAATTCCAGCAATCTTGCACCCAAGGAACAAGGATACTATCACTCTTAACAAAAAGAATAGAGCAATTTTCATTTAGAGTTAATTGTATTCCCAAAAGCAAAGCCCATAACTTTGCACCCAAAATTGTGGTTTGGTCCTTCAAAATTTTACACAAATCAAACAAAATTAAACATAATTAAAAAAACTTGTGCTGGTCACATTTTGAGCTAAGAGAAATGAGAAGCACTGGGATATCGAGTAGTGTTGTGTCACATGCAAACACAATTGCAAGCTAGAGGTGCGGCCTCCCTAACCAATTTTTTTTTTTTTTTTTTAAATTACTCAATAAAATATTGAAAATTTTTTATTTTGCATTTTAAAATAGTAAATTTTTTCAATTTGGCACTTTTAACTCTTAAATTTTGTTAATCCCCTTAGTTTTAATTCTTGGCTTCGTCACTGAGCCCAAATAATGGGTTAATTGACCCTTTTTATGGCATATTGTGAAAATTTTTGGCAGACAGTTAGAAATTGAGGTTTTTGTATATTTAATTCAAATTTTAATTTTTTTTCCCCTAAATCGTATGTTCCCTCAAATTCGATGGGCAAAATCAGCATTGTTCATTTCAACTTTCATTTTTGAAGTCCTAATACAAACTTGATAAAGGAATAATATAGGCCCAAACTTTTTGAGCCTTATTGATTAGCCTGTCGATTGAAATGTGCCCAAACAACCAAAATCTTTCCTTTCAATTGCTAACGGGGCACGAAGCGTAAGTCACCGCCATCGCCACCGAACGACCAACTCCGTCGCCTCAACGAGCCTTTGTCTCTTTATCGGCTTCAGCATAGAAGCTCCATTGATTAGTTGAAACAGAGAAAAAAAATGTGAGTGACATTATGCTTTTATTTTAATACTTCTTTCAATTTCAATACTGATTTTGGGTGAATATACCATGGATGTTTTGCGTTTTAGGTCTAGAATTTGTGTGAAGAATTTACCAAAACATGTGGCAGAGGATCGCCTGCGGGAGGTGTTCTCGCGGAAAGGAGAAATTACTGATGCAAAGCTAATGCGAACCAAGTACTCTCTTTCTCTTTTCAAAGAGAAATTCTTTTTCTATTCTTTGGAGTTTTTTTTAACATGGTCTTTTGTTTGTGGATTAAGAGATGGTAAGAGTAGGCAATTTGCTTTTATTGGATTTCGGACCGAGCGTGAAGCTGAAGAAGCTATTAAATACTTCAACAAATCTTACCTTGATACTTGTAGAATTACCTGCGAGGTGTGTTTTCTTTTCTTGTTCGTTTGTTTTATCTGAAATGTTTCTTCTTTGTTTAAGGTTGTATTTGGATGGGTTTACTTAGATGCTGATAGTAGTGTTCTGAATACCCAAGAACATATGAAATTTGAATTGGAATTTAAGGAGAAATAAATCCATTCCTTTTATCCAGATTGCTCATCAAGTTGGAGATCCAACTATACCTCGTCCTTGGAGTCGGCATTCTCAGAAGAAAGAACAGAAGGAGATTGAACATGGGAATAAAGCTGCTGGTGCTAGAAATTCAAGCCTAAAAGGTGGCCAAGATGAAAGGAAGACTAATAAAAAAGGGCGTGACAACGATGACCCTTTACTGCAGGAATTTCTTCAGGTCATGCAGCCAAGAGTTAAGTCAAAATTGTGGGCAAATGACACTGTGATTGCTTCCCCTGTTGAGCAAAATGTTGAAGTCGGTAAGAAAGAAACTCAAGCTGAGAGGGGAAGCAGAGAGAAGCCAGTTCGAGTAGATGCTGAATTAAAGGAAAGTGATAGTCATGAAGCTGAGAAATCAAACAATCTTGCTCATGATGAAGTCATTTCAGATATGGATTACTTCAAGAGTAGAGTAAAGAAAGAATGGTCAGATTCAGAAAGTGAGAGCAGTGAGAATGTTGATGATGATGATGAAATTAATGACAATGACAGCGACAGTGATGAAGAGAGTGATTCTCCTGGGGAAACACTTAAGAGCAAGGATGTTAAAAAAATAGATCAGACTGCAGAACGTGATACTAGAACTGTTGCCCAACCAGAGGTTGAGGAGGAAACTCCTGCAGATTTTCATGGTGAAATCCTTGACCCTGATAATCGATCATCTAATGCAAAAGATGAATTTCTTGAGGCCGGTCGTCTTTTTGTTCGCAATCTGCCATATACAGCAACGTATGCATACTACCACCTTCCATATAATTGTGTTTTTGGCAACTAAATTTTGTTGTCCATTTCATGAAAATAGTTTAATAATGTTTTATGCTTTTAGTGATTGTTTTTACTACAGTATGTAGTTAGTGTTTTATTATTTGTTTCCTAGCTATTATCAGAATTTTGATGTAACAGAGAGGATGAACTGGAAGAGCACTTCGGCAAATTTGGCAACGTCTCACAGGTCCATCTTGTTGTTGACAAAGATACAAAACGGTCCAAGGGAATTGCCTATATTCACTACACACTTCCTGAATCTGCAGCAAGGTATTTGCGTGTCAATGTGTTGGCTATTTACCTTTCTGATTTGATGATATTTTAGTGATGCACCTGGAACCTCTCATTTGATACCTTCCAATTATTTTATCAGCTCAATATCTATAGCTAAAGATATCCGACACTCCTGTGCTTATATTTTGAGGTTTTGTGTACGCTTATGAATGAAAATTTTAGCATGGAACTTCTACCAATTAATGACATTTTGTTACTTTAGAATGGAAGATTCATTCTTTCTTATTCATTGGTGGCATTTATCTAAACCATAATGTTCTGTCTTGTGAGAATGAGCCTGTATCACTGATAGTCTCCTTGCAATGCAAGGAGATGGCTGCTTACATCTGACACCCTTACATTGCAATGCAGTAGTTGGGAAGCCTTGATTGTAGCGCACTAGGACACCCTTACAGCATTATGTTTTGTCACTTTTGTGTGCTTACTTCTAGATTGAAGTGAAGAAGCGATTTACACTTTGGATTGAAGTACATAATTATTTCTAAAAGTTTGAATTTATTTAATAATTCAAAAGTTAATTAATTCAAATAAATTAAATTATTAGTAAATTGATAATTTAAAAAAATTTATATGATTAAGTAGGAGATTTTTGAAACTTCCTGAGTTTGTACTTTGTTTGGCCTATTATCTTAATTTACATTATGATTATTATTATTATTTTTTTTTCGGTCATTCATTTCATTGCATATTTGCATTCTAAAATTGGTAATACTGTTTGAAGCAACATTGTGCTGGCTTTCCAATCATTCCACATATTTTCATTTATTACTTTTTTTTGTTCGGATCAGATAATTGCATAGTTTTTATGTAGGGCATTGGAAAAATTAGACAATTCAATATTCCAAGGAAGATTAATGCATGTCATGCCAGCAAAACAGAAAAATCCATCTGATAAACAAGAGTAAGTGGTTCTTGTTGCGTTTTCTACCTTCCATCATTTACTTCTCTACTTTTGTTGTAGTTAATATTTCATTATCTGTAGGCTTGATGATACTTTAAGAAAAGGTTCAAAAACTCTCAAGCAACGTCGGGAAGAAGAGAGGAAGGCAGCTGAAGCCAGTGGAGATACAAAAGCATGGAATAGTTTGTTCATGCGCCCTGATACGGTATGTAAAATCTTGGCACCGAATTGTACATTCTAACTACTCCCAAAGATGGTCTGTTGTGTTATTTATTTATTTATTTATTATGTCAATTTTCTGATTGGCCTATGACTAATAGTAAATGGAACTGATAATAGTAAATGGAAAAGAAGTTAGTGATCTTACCAATTCTCATCTGAAAAATGTTACAGTATTTTTTCTTGCTTCTATCCAGTGGGTTTGAGTTGTCATTTGTAGTCATCTCCTTAAGAAGTAAATATTGTTAATAGTGTTAAATTCTAAGAGCATGCTTCTTTTCCAGCAATTCTATCCGACAATCTTCCATACTTCTGCTAGAGGAGATGAACTATAAGTTCAGATCTTGCAATATAGATGCATATTGAGATTGCTTGGGGCACCCATCTATTCTATTTGTATATTTATTTTTACAAACTGCCTGCCTTTTGCTTTAAGGAAACCCTTGATAACCAGATGCACTAACCTTTTAAGCAGCTTATTTTCTATTGTCAAATCTAAAATGACTTTTCATTGTTGGCCTTATTACCAAATTACAGGTGCATGCCCTAATTTTTAGGAATTGTATAGCTCTTCATATAGTTACCGATTCAATAATCATCTCCAAAATCTCCAATTATTAATAATTGATATATTCATTTTTTGGTTTTGGATTGGCTTTTTGCTACTGCTACTTGCTGGTGGGCTCTATAGTTCTTATTTCATCCATGTATGAACTAAAACCCTTTTACCTTCTGTGTTTAAGCTTTTCCTTCTCGAGCTTTTTCTCTCCTTGTAAACAACATTATTTATTAAGTACATTAAAGAAGGGTATAACCGTAGTGGTCTAGAAGGTACGCAAGAGAGCTCCTAAGAAGTCAATATTGCTATTCTGTAACAGATAGTTGATTATTATAGTGGCAAATATAAGAAAAATTCAATTTTCTCTTGTTTGGGGAAGAACTAATGGCAAAATTTTCAGAGGGGACCACCAAACTTTTTCTCCCATCGATGAAAAAAAAAACACAAACTACCTAAATGCCCGTATCACTCTCTCCTAACAATTGATAGACATCATTGTAATTTTGTCATTGATTAATGCATTTTCACTCTATTATTTTCTCATCATCATCTGAACAAGTGGCGTTGCTTGACTTCTTTCTCCCACTCCCTTTTTCAAGTGATTTTATGAATAATTAACTGATTGTGATATGCATGTAAAAATCGCCTCCTCTTGGGTGCTGCTTGGCTGCTGAAAATTTTGGTTCAATATCTTGACCTCATTTTGTTCCTGTACTGTGTATTCATAGGTGGTTGAAAACATTGCTAGGAGAATGGGTGTAAGTAAGAGTGATTTACTTGATCGTGAAGCTGATGACCTTGCTGTGCGTATTGCTCTGGGTGAAACTCAAGTGATTGCAGAGACAAAAAACGCTCTTGCCAATGCTGGAGTGAATGTCGCATCTTTAGAGATATTTGCTGCTGGGAAAACTGATGGCATGAAAAGAAGCAACCACATTCTGTTAGTAAAGAACTTGCCATATGGCTCTTCTGAAGGTGAACTTGCTAAGATGTTTGGGAAATTTGGTAGTCTGGACAAAATTATCTCCCCTCCAACAAAAGCATTGGCCTTGGTATGTATTTCTGATTTTAACTTCTGCATTTCTTAAAGTCGGATTAACTACAAAAGCATTGTGTAAGCTTCAATGGACAATTCATGTACCTAGGTGTTCATGTGATTGCTTGGGCCATTGTTTAGGTAAAGTATGAATCTAGAACCAAGGTTTTCGTACTCAACCTGTCATCAACTTGGTGAAGATAGAGCATCAAGGGTTAAGAGGTCATCCGGGGTCAAATTGGTATTTTAATTAAATATTATACGAAATATTATAAAGTTAATGATTTTTATTAAAAATCTTTTTTGTAAATTAAAATAAACTGAAATTAATAAAATTTATTAAAATTAAAATATTATAATTATAAACCTTCACTATAATAATAGTTCTAGCAAACAATTGCATATAAATATTATATTATACTATTTTAAATAAAATAAAGTTGTGAATATTAACAATAATTTTTATGCTAATAATATTATAGTGATTTCAAATAAATTTCACACATGATAAATTTAATAGATATCTTTTTTAAACTTATAGAAAATGTGAGAGTATTGAGTAAAATTATTTTTATAAGTAAGAGTAAAATATTTAATTAGAGAAAAGTAAGATTCTATAATAAAAATGAAAGTTGGAGAAAAGTAAGATTCTATAATAAAACATGGAATTTAGTGAATAAATTATAATTATAATTTATATCAGCAATGTAAATGTGGAATAAGAATTGATTTAATAATTGTGAGAAAATGTAACCATTATAAAATATTGAAATAAATAATTTTAAGTAATTTAACACAAACTTACACATGGTTTAGTAGTTAACATTTGATAATAATCCTCAAAGTCATGGACTCAGTACCCACAAAAAGCATTTTGAAATGGAAAAAGGAAAAATTTTACCAACTAAAAACCAAGCCAGATTCGAACTGGCTGACCCGGCTAAACCCGTTTGGTTTTGACTGGTTTAATGTCAAACCCAGCCGTAAATTTAAGCTCAACCGGAACTAGAGACCTGACTGGTTCACAGTTCAACCGGTTGAACTGGTCAGTACGGTCCAGGTTTGAGAACACTGGTAAAGACAATAAAGTTGGCCCAAGGATTCAGGATGATAGACATAATAGTTTGTTTCTTGATGTTTCTGGCTAAGTGACTGATTTTCTTTTATTAAATTATTCTTGCTAATAGTTTTTGTTTTCATTGGTATTGTTGCTGATGGGTCTTGTATACATTTACGGGAATATGTTAGGTATAGTCAAGAACCTTTTCTCATCTTTTTCCTTGTCTTGATGTTGTTCTGCTTTGCATAATGCCTATGTGTTGCAATTGTTTGCTCATAGTAATGACACCCTTTCTTGGAATTTTCACTTTAGAGATTAGAAGTCTCAAGGATAGGGAGGTGACAGAATTGGTTTTGTTGCTTGTTTTTTGTTAGATTTTGTTCAGTTGTCTCCTATTGTAATATAAGGTTTTGATCTTCGCATTTTTAAGGAAAATTATGTTATAAATAACTGCGATTCCCACTTTGTTTGCCCTTTTGAACACTATTCATTCAATGTTCCAATAAAATTTAGAAGCTAAAGTGCCACCCGAAAGTAAGAACTTTTGTTTGGTCTGCACTTGTCCAAAAAGTGAGTATTAATGTATTAACCTTTGGCAGAAAAGAAGGCCTAAAATGGTCTGTCCTCTTATTAGAAAAGGAATTAATTTTCTGGATTTTGACAAATTCTTTAAAAACAGGAGGCATGATATATATATATATAACTATTAGTCCACCAACCACCATGGATCATCATTCATCATCACTGGACACTGGCGATCACTGTTATCAGCCATTCGAGACTGCAAAATAAGTTTATATGTTGTTATAATCTTATAAAATAAAATAAAATTTAAAATTTTTCATTTTACTCCAAACATTAGAAAATAATTTTTAATTGATATTCAGTATTGCAACTGAACAACACCTAACAGAAATTAAGTTGGTTTCCTAGAAAATGTTTTCCTTAGAAATTTAGTAGACTGAATAATGGCTTGTATTGCTGTCCGATGGAAATTTAATAAGAATGCCTTGGATTTGGTTATTGACTGTATAGAAAATTTTGGTTTCTATCTAGTAAGCACTTTCGATTTGTTGATGGGGTTGGTGGTGGTAAGCTTTCTTTTCTTTTTTTAAACCATAGGCCTGAGGATAACTTTGTATCAAAGAAAAGCGTAATGGATCCCTTACACCAAGAAGGACTCCCTAGCTCTTAGGGGTTGGATTTGCCAGGGGTTCATTCATTAGGTGAGCTCTTTGCTCCTGGTAGACCGGTTGGTGTTCATCAGTCAGTTTGCTTCTTTCTTTGACTGACGTAATTGACCCATTCTGAAGTGTTCTGCTCATTGAGTTTTGTAAAAAGGTTCCAGTCTTTGTTCGGTGAGTCTCGAGGTCTTTCAGATCTCAACTGAAAGGCGCTTGAGAGAACCATGTCGAAGGTTATATATGTTTTTGGTACTAGTTACTTTTTACTGGTTAGTAATGTTGGGTATGTACTTTTCTTCTCTTGCATCAGTAAATTTATCATCTTGGTAATTTTGCTGAATAGCGAAGTACTAGAGAAGTTGATTGTGCGAAGACCCTGCCTCGGGATTGGAATAGAATTTTAGCCCAGATTTAAAAGGCAAATATCCAGGTTCTGATGCTACTGTTCCAGTTTGTGGTTCAGGGTTTGTTTTGAATTTTATTCTTGATCCTGTGAGTCTTAAGCTTCATCTTTCTGCTGTTAAATATGGTTGATCCTGTGAGTCTTAAGGGTTAACTGGCTCTATGTTTGTGTTGTATCAATTGTTGGGCATGTGGCTGATCCTATGCTGTAGATGATAATAATTATTTGGGCTCTACTTTTGGTAGCAATTGTTTGATCTGTTGCTTCAGCTCTTAATCCAATAACTATTGAATTAGCCAAGTAATAGTTAGTATTGCTAACTGTTAGTCCGTCTTTTCTCTGATTTTTATTTTTTACTTCAATTTCATGATATTTAGGTAGTTTTTCTTGAACCATCTGAGGCTCGTGCTGCTTTTAAGGGTTTAGCATACAAGCGTTACAAGTGAGTTTATTTTTGTTTCTTGATGTTGAATGTTCTCTTATGTCCTCTATTGCAATCAAACAGTGCTTTTCCTTTTGGAAGTATATAAGCTTTAAATTTAATTTTGAAATTGTCAAATATAGGGATGCTCCCTTATATTTGGAGTGGGCTCCTTCAAATGTTCTTAGCCAAAGTCCAACTTCTATAAGCAGTGAAGGAAAAAATTCTGCTGTTGGTGAACATGATGCCAAGAGAGTGATATTGGAGCAAAGCGTGGAATTAATATCAGAAGATATTGATCCTGATAGAATTGAGGTTAGATATAACGTTTTCTCCTATGCACTTGCTTTTCTCTTCCTCTTTGTGCTTCTGTTCGGTTATGTTGCATGCTTGACAGTGCCCTGATTATCAGTTCCTCAGTCCTTGTTTAACCGAAGGACTGACAGGGTCATTATCCTGTTTCTGAGTATTTGTATTTGCGTGTTGGGGGCCTGCGCAGGGGGCTGTTTGGCGGCGAAAGGATTTGATAGTTCTGTCCATGTAGTTTGATGAATGGAAATGATTCAAGAGTTCAATTCCTGGGTCCCTTTCTCATATATTTAACAAATATTCTTGTTAACCATAAACCTACCATAGTATTTACTATTAGCTTTAGCTACATTGATACCACTTGTTAGAAAATCGATAAAAGCTGTGATCTCACTGCTGTAAAACAGAAATGAACTTAATTCTTAAAGAAACAGTTGAAAGAAGGAAAACATGAAAACACTTAAACATGTATATTAAATTCCCTTTGTATAAAGGGCCACATTTTTACAATTAGACAATTACACATTCATATAATAAGACCTGTGAAACCAAAAGTTAACAATAAATTCTAACATTTCATCTACTTAAATAGATAACTTACAAGAATACTCACACATTTAATACTTAAAAATCCCAAATTTAATGAACTACTTAATTCACTTTAATACTTCAATTTATTATTTCTGACACTCCTGCTTAAATTGAAATATTTCTTTCAACTGTGATCCAATCAATGATTTCTTCCTTCTATAACAAGGCACCTTCAAAGTTCAAACCTGTTTTCTTCTTGTTTTAGGATATTACCCTCTTGACCTTCATGAAAATAAAGCTTCTTGAATATAATTTTATAGTTTGATGACTTATCGGTCCCTAGAAAATATTTTTATGCAGTTTAACGGCATGCTGGTCCGTTGAATTTTTTTCAGTTTCTCGACATGGTAGTCCTTAGAAAATGTTTTTTCAGCTTTTGGACATGTCAGTCTCTCCAAAGAAGTTTTTTACAGTTTTTGGACATTTCGGTCCTTCAGAAAATTTTTTTAGTTATTGGACATGTCAGTCCTTTCAAAGAAGTTTGTTTTCAAGACATTAATGAAAATTTGGCTTCCAGGATCTTTCTTGGCATGTTAGGACCTGGCAGCTTCTGCACTAATTAGGCTCTAATACCACTTATTAGCTTTAGATACTCTTAAACCTTGTTAGAAAATAGATAGAAGTTGTGATACCACTGGTTTAGAATAACAACAAACTTAATTTTTTAAAGAAACAGTTGAAAGAAGGAAAACATAAAAACATTTAAACATTTATATTAAAACTTTGGCTTCCCTTTGTATAAAGGGTCACACTTTGACAACTAGATAATCACACGTTATATAAAAAGACATATCAAAACAAAAGCTAACAATAAATTCTAAAGTTTCATCTAGTTAAATGGATAACTCATAGAAATACTCACACATTTGATACTTCAAAAATTCCAAATTTAATGAACTACTTAATTCACTTTAATATTTCAATTTATTATTTCTAACATTTTCATATTAAAATCTGCTAAAGAAAAGCAAATGATTTAGTATTTACTAACTATATGATAGTGGAATGTAGTAAACAAAATTCTTATGAGATCTTATATTTTTTATCTTATTTTTCCAATTTATCTTCCTCATTCAAAGGAAAAAAAAAAAAAAAGGCCATTTTAGGATATCTTGTTTCAATTGATTAAAAAAAGAGTGGAGCTATTGCCGCAACCTAATTATTAATATAAATCTCATCTTCCTAAAATGCTCTTATGTGACTAATTCTATGTAACTCCTATCTACATTAAAAAAACCCGCATATCTTTTTCTCCTTTTGGAGAAATAAAAATCATCTCTCTTTCAATCCACTTTTCTTGAAATGCTTCAAGGTCCAGTTATGACCAAATGCTACTGCAAATTGTCTTAATTTCTTCGTTTGCACAATTCAAGTTTTGAACAATAAGCATGAGCCCAAGTATTTTACATCTCATTGACACAAGTGGGAATGGTCTTTAATATGGGTTTTAAGAAAGTAAACAAGGATTCATCAATTGAATCTGGTAAAAGAGTGAAGTAGAAGGTTAGAGGAGTAAATCAGTCAGTCAGTAGTCGAATTTCTTTTGACTTTGCTTTATTTTTTATCCCTTCTCTTTTTCAAAGTAGCATGCATTGGTAAGTATTTGAGTTTGAGACTTTAATTTGAGCATGGTTTTGAATTTTTTTTTTTTTTTTTTTTTTTTTTTTTTTTTTTTTTTTTTTTGAACAATAAGCATGAGCCCAAGTATTTTACATCTCATTGAACACAAGTGTGGAATGGTCTTAATATGGGTTTTAAGAAAGTAAACAAGGGAGTTCATCATTGAAATCTGGTAAAAGAAGTGAAAGTAGAAGGTTAGAGGAGTAAATCAGCCAGTCAGTTAGTCGAATTTCTTTGACTTTGCTTTATTTTTTATCCCCTTCTCTTTTTCAAAGTAGCCGCCCCCCCCCCATGCATTGGGTAAGTATTGAGTTTGAGACTTTAATTTGAGCATGGTTTTGATTTTTTTTTTTTTTTTTTTTTTTTTTTTTTTTTTTTTTTTTTTTTTTACTGTGAGCTGATTATGAAAGGAAGCAGGGAGGTAGATGTGAGGGAAGAGAGACAAAGTACTTAGGTGTTTTTTTTAGAGGAGGTTAAAGAATGGAATGTAAATAGAATTTAACTTCTTAACCTTTTTTTTAAATATGAATGAGAGCAATAAAGGTTAAATGCAAGCACTCATTTTTGTTGACCTCCAGTTCTGGGGTTAGATGGTGAAATCTAAAGATTTTAATTAGGCTTACAAACTTTACATATATTGAGCTCCTATTTCCTATAAAACTCCCAAATATGTTAATGTTAACTAATATTCATTAACATTCCATTCCACAGCTTTCTTTCACTCTCCTCGACTTTCTATCCTATCCTCTTAAAACTGCCATGCAATGCATGTAGAAGAGGTAGAGTGATGACACTACTAAACTACATAGGATTTTAGGAAGATCCTATTTCTACTAATAATTAGGCTGTGGCCACGGCCATTTTGGCTGTTGTATTGCCCTTAAACAAATCATATTTTTCTTATTATTGGTTGGCAATTTTGGAACAACTGACCATTATTTCTTTTGCTTTAATTAATTAAAAAAATGATATTATTGTTTCATGTGTGAGTGGATCAGGGATTGTAAGCATTGATGTTTCTGCTTCCAACATAATCTTTTGTTTCTCATTCTTTCTTTTATTTGTTATTCTGCAGTCACGATCATTATTTGTGAAGAACCTGAATTTCAGGACATCTGATGAGAGTTTGAAAAAGCACTTCAGCGAACACATGAAGGAGGGGAAGATCTTAAGTGTCAGGGTACTTTTCTGGGTCCTTAGAACCATAAGATATTCTTTCTTATATTGATGTTCCTGTACACTTATGTTGGGGGTTTTTTCACGTTCAGATAAAGAAACACTTGAAAAATGGGAAGAATGTTTCAATGGGTTTTGGTTTTCTAGAGTTTGATACTGTGGAGACAGCAACAAATGTCTGTACAGATTTACAGGTAATTACCAACTCAGGAATCACATCTTAAATTTCTCTGAAATTTATGGCTGCTCTTCACCTTTTTACCCTTTTACTCTTTTAGGGAACTGTCTTGGATGGGCATGCTCTTATCTTGCAATTATGTCATGCCAAGAAGGATGAGCAAGTGGGGAAAAAGGTTGATAAGGATAGGAGTACTACAAAATTACTTGTGAGAAATGTAGCTTTTGAGGCAACAGAGAAGGACCTTAGACAACTATTTAGCCCATTTGGCCAGGTAACTTTCCTTTTTCAGAAGGGAGACAAAAAAGAAATGAAAAGGCCTATGCAAAACTCTAAACTTTGTAGTCTAGGTCAGGCAGGGTACTGTCAAATATTGTCAGTCATTCTTGCATAAAAAAATTACTATCAACCAGTATTTTGCCTAAGGCAATATTTGGATGGAGGATATTAAAATCTGTGGGATTTATCAAAATCTATAGAATTAAAAACCTAGGTTTCTTTATTCAAAAATAAAAAACCTAAGTTTCTAATTCCTTCAGATTTGTAAAATTTACTTTTTTTGGTATAAATTTTAAAACCCATGGATTTCAGTTGAAATTTTGTAAATGAATAAAATTTTGAAGAATCCCTCATTCATTAGGGATTCAGCAAAGTGCCACGTGTGAGATTTTGAGAATCCTTAAAACAAGGGATTATGGTCCTGGAGGGATTTGAACAATCTATGTATTTTAGCCTTTTTCTTTTTGTTGTTGTGTCAAACAAGGGTTTGGACAAAATCTATTGATTCAATATCCCTCATAAAAAATTCGTCATTCCAAACATGGCATTATTCCTATACTTTTCCTTTTCCATGTTAAGTGCTTATGTTTGTGATAAAATTTACTTCGATATTGGGCGGGAGTTTTAACAAAATTTCTACCCTGACATGTGCGGGATTATATTCAACTAATTTGCTTTCACATTGACGTATTAAAATGTTTCAAGAACATCTCAAATTTTGTTCTCTTTTAACCATTTAAAAAAACTTCAACTGAAGTTGCCGCAAGTACATGAGTCAATCTTTTAGTCAATAGCAGTTTTTGGTCCCCCATTCCCTTTTACGATAGCTAAATGGAACTCATACAAGTTTGTGGTTTGCCTTACGAACTTAATGCTGTGTACAGTGCAAGATAACCTGTCATAACTACATATATTGGTTTTTCTCTGATCAACTCTGCTAAACTGCAGATCAAAAGCTTAAGGCTGCCAATGAAATTCGGAAACCACAGAGGCTTTGCATTTGTGGAGTATGTTACTAAGCAAGAGGCAGAGAACGCACTTGGAGCACTTGCAAGCACCCATTTGTATGGTCGACATTTGGTAGGCCATCTATTATTTCAGTAAAAAAAAAAAAAAGATCGGTCATGCACCAAAAATAACTGGGGGGAACAACTAAAACTACTGCTTTGATTTTCAGGTTCTGGAGAGAGCAAAGGAAGGCGAGAGCTTAGAAGAACTACGGGCACGAACAGCAGCTCAGTTTGCTGAAGAGCAAAATAGTTTGCATAATCCAACGAAGTTATCGAAGAAAAGGAAGCATATGGCTGTGTTGGATGAAGGAACAATGAAATTTCAAAGGATTGCCGATTAGTGCTTTCTTTGGCGAACTTTATGTAATACGTAGAGTAGATGGACTATTTCTTGCTGTGTTAATAGGGTTTATAGATTGCTTCAAATCTCATGCTGGCCCCAATTTTGCTGCTTAGGAGCTGGCATTTAACTTGTGTTCAAATTATAAATTAAAGTTTACCCTTTGCTTGGATGATTGTATTTTTCTGAAGGAAGGAAAATAACTATGAGAGATATCTGGGGAAAAGTATTTTCTCTTGTTTGGGAAAGAGGAGGAAAATACTAGGATGAAAGGTCTATGGAAGTAATGGAATAAATTAGGTCAGGAATCAACGCGGGATGTTCATATTTTTACTAAATTATTCTTTTTCTATGAAATTTAGATTGCTATAATTATTAATAGCAATTAAATGAAATTCATAAATAGAAACTTTAATTAAAAATAAAGAATAAAATCAAATAATTCAATTGCCAATCCCGTATTGAACTCATAATAAGAGACCTATTAATTGTTACTTGCTCGTCAATGCATTAAGGATAATAAGATAAAATAATCTGGATAAATAATAAATTTGGTGTTTCCATTTTTGATCTTTTCTCAATTTGATGTATGAACGGAAAACTTTTTAATTTAAATAGACATAAAAGAAGGTGTAGCTTAAATACATTAATAGAAAAATTGTGAAAGTGTTGAAAAAAAAATCAAAAATACAAAAAGAACTGAAATCTTGAACAAACAAATCAGTTTCTTCTATGAATAAAATAAAATAAAATTATGTGAAAAGATAAAATCTTGAATGAAGATTTAAACTTCTTGCAAATTTTCGACCTTTACTCAAAACCCAACAATATAAACTCTTTTCTCTTTAATCTTCAGACTAAATGCACAATTAATCACTTTAATTCCTTTCAAGCTCCCATAAACTCAGCACAAAATTACTAAATATTGATTCAAAACTTCCAGAAAAACAAAACTTCCAAATTCAAAAAAAATAGAAAAGTTAAAATTAATATTGATTACACCGTACTATTTTGGATTAGTAAGGTTTTTGCAAGTAATGTAAATGAGATCGAGCACGGCCTCTATCAACTTGAAGAAATTGGAGTGAGAAAGCTCGGCATGCTTTTGAGCCTCCTGAACAAACTTTAGGCTTTCCCTGCATGCTTTTGAACCTCCTGAATAGACTTTAGGAGAGCACCAAGAGTCCCATCACTTCAATGATGCTCCTGCCGTTGCTTGATCTATCCACGGTTGTGGTAGAAAGAGCTATAACCTTATTTTGAGAACAATAATAAGGGCATGATGGACATTTCTCTGGTTTTACCAAGTTAAATTTGGTTTTTCTAACTCAACTAATATACGTCAGCTTAAACAGGATGCTGACTGGATATTTACTGGGCTTGCTTAATCATATTTTCTGTTATCATATCACATTTATTAGCTTTTTTAAAAAATTAAATCATTTAATTATAAATATTTTCCGTTCATATACCAAATTGAAAAAAATAATGAAAAGTTATTCTATAAATTCTAACTCATCATCATCATCATCACTATTTATCCGATTTAAATATTCATCGTCATCTTAAGAATAAATCAATAGTAACGTTGATGCTCTTTAATTGACAGTCCATATTTCATCAATTCTCATATTTTAACTATCTAAGAGATAACTTGAAGACAAAGTTGTTTTTATTTCAGTAGGGCACGATTCAGAAGATAACAACGTTGCAAGGCACAACCAAATATTGTGGCCTTTCGTTCACCTCTTTCATTGAATATAAAGTTGACAGAACCATGTTCTGCTTATTATAGATTATGGCCTCCCTTTCTTGCAAGACCAGTTCCTCTCAACTGGAAAAAGGAAAGTCATCTTCCTTCTTTTTTTTTTTTTTAATCTTAAACCGAAAGAAACAATATTACGCTACAAGTCAAACAACATTTTATTTTTAAGTGCCCGACGCGTGTGTAAAAGTGTTTGAGGGGTGTTAGAATCCTACATGAGTATATTGAACCTTTATGATATTTGATTTTATTTGATTGGAGGTAAAACTTGATTTGTAGGTGTGCATCTTGAATCAATGAAATCTGATAATGTGGCTTATTCCTTTATTGATGCTATTGATGCATAGTAGTGGAAACTCATTTGTGCTCGTTATATGTTGCAAATTCTTAGAAAAATAATATTAGATATAGAAGATATAGAAAAATTATTATTTTGTTGTCCAATTCAATTAACAAACTAATTACTACTAAGAAGATTTATATCTTTTGTCAAGATCAACTTACAGCGGAAAAATCTAATATTGTATATTTTGATTTTAGTTTCATTATTCAAAAGAATATGAACTCTTTTGTTTCACTAAAAAATTAGTGAAAAAGTTCTATGTCTAGTCTATATAAATATTTATAATTCTTGATTTTATTATGAATGAATTACATTTAAAAAAAAAAAGTTCATTTAATCTAAATTAGATACCTCTTTATTGCAATATCTTATGCAATCCGATGGACTTATATAATAAACATTTCCTTAATAATTATCTTTAATTATCGATGGCAAAACTCTATTAATAAATCGATAAAATTATAATTTGAAAAATGTGTGACTTGATCGATAAATAGTAAATACTCAGTAAACCGGTAAATCAATAAACACAAATTCAGTAAACATTTAATCCAACCAAACCAAATATCGACTCCTAATCCATTTTGGATTATACTTTAAAATTGTGGAACAGTCGATAGCTTTTATAATAATACTCCACAATTGTAAAGAAAAAGCTTAAGCAAAGATATGTCATTTGGTAGTATAATGTATCGTAGCTCTTTCTTCTCCTCTCCTCTGCGAAATTTCCTAACAAAAGGGACACTTCTTCCTGTTTTTTTTTTTTTTTTTTTACCCTACATCCATTTTGGGATTACTACTTGTACAAATTGTTGGAACAGTACCGATAGGCTTTTATAATAAATAACTGCCAAACCAGAATTGTAAAAGAAGAAAGGGCTTAAGCAAAGATATGTCATTGGTAGTATAATGATCGTAGCTCTTTCTTCTCCTCTCCTCTGCGAAATTTCCTAACAAAAAGGCGACACTTCTTTCCTGTTTTTTTTATTTTTTTTTTTAATATTTTTTATTTCGGTTAATTGGAAATTAAAAATTGAATTTGTTAATTGGAAATTCACGATGATTGTACTTTCTGTGCTTTGTCAGTGCGAAAATCACATCATTTTTTTTTTTTTTTTTTTAATTATTTTTATTTGGTAATTGGAAATTAAATTAATTTGTAATTGGAAATTTCACATGATTCGTACTTTCTGTTGCTTTGTCAGTGGAAAATCAATTCATCTCATGTGTATTTTACAATCATAAATTTGCGTGACTTACAATTATTCTTTTGTTTCTTTCCTATTTCATTTATCTTCACTCTCCAATTTGGAATTTCTAACAAAATACCAATCCCTCTTTCTTAAGCCAACTTCATAATTTGCCACATAAGCCCTTCACCTTTTATTATGTAAAATGGGGAGGTTCGGTTTGTAAAAAATTAAAAAAAAAAAAACTTAAAATGAGGAATTAGCGACCGTAAACCTTAAAATGAGATTAGTGTTGTACAAAATAAAGATAAACAAGCATTGATAGAAAAAAAAAAGTTACTAAACTGAATTTATAATGCAAATTTAAAATATCTCACTTTTTAATATATATATATATATAAAATTTTTTTTCAAGACCTAATGCAATGATTTTTCTACTTGTTCTTTTATTTTTTTTAAATATGAATATGCTTATATATTATTAGAATCAGAATACAACAAATCACAAATAATAGATGGTGGGACAAGACTTCATTCCATCGAATCAGATATAAAAACAGTTGTTCGAACCAAAATATAAGCACGTTGATTCGTCGATTTCTTCGCAAAAATAACAAATACAGTAGATAATTCTCGAGGAAGATGCCTGCAGTCTTCCATTAAAACACTAAAATAAGAATAATCAAAGCGCTTGAACCACTCGCAAGCAATCGCTTTCCACCACCATCTCCCTACCTGAAAATCTGTTCTTTAACCAGCTTAATACCTCCCTGATACCCAGAAGCTCAGCAAAAACAACGTGTACAACTTAATTCACTATTGATTTGAGAATGTTTATGTGGTCTGCCGATAGCATAAATTTGAATTTTATTTTAATTTTTCTTCTAGAAGTAATTGATAATCGAGTAACATTTCAAGTTGCAAGAGAGGGAAGGAAGTGAATATGATTTTGAATTATCTGATTTCAAATTTCAAATTTTCTTTTTCTTAAATACTTCCAAAAAATAAAATCCTCGAAAATGCGGATTTGTCAATAACGTCACTTGCCATTGTCTGTCCAGTAACAATAGAACACGTAGTCAAACGACTGGAGGGCGGCCGAAAACGACATCATGCCGGCCATATTCTATGCGTTTTCTTTACCCGGTAAAAACTGTCCGTTTTGAGAATCTGTGAGATACGTACTCAACTTCTCCATACTAGAACTCCTTTGACCAAAATGCCCCTATCCCTCGCTCGATATTACAAATTTATGAAGAAGTGCATTCTGTGTTTATAACATCGTAACACTATGTGGATCACATATGATTATTAACAAACAAAATGGTTTCCATTAGTTTGATAATTATTTAGAATTTGTTTGTAATTAGTTCTTCAAATGGTTTTTGAAGTATTTGAAATAATCGATGCTTTCATAATTAATATGTAAATTATAATTTTTATTAATACTATAATTAATATCATTTCCAATGATTTTTATTAATATTTTATAATTACAAGAACTACAATTATTTAATTGTAATAAAATAATCAATCAAAATATATTAATTAGATTATATAGTATATTTGTTCGGTCTGAAATTGTTATAGGTTCATTGGATTTGCGTCTATTAAGAGTGTTTTGAAATAGGTAGACAAACGGATTACGCCTATTTAGTTCGGAAAAAAAAAAAAGAAAATGAACATAATAAGAGTTTAAAAGGAAAGAACATCAAATATAAGAGGGATATGAGGAAAATATAAGAAATTAGAGAGTTTTAAAAGGGGGACACAATGTGACTTGAATGTACATTGACTATACGACGCAATTCAATCTGTTTGTACAGATTCACGTATAATTTACTATATTTATTTTTTCGATTTATAGAGATCCTAATAGTACCTCCACGTAAAATGTACATTCTGAAAATATATTTCGAATTTTATAGAGATACCTAATTGAGTCCAGACCTCCACGCTAAAATGTACATATCTGAAAAATTATATATATATATAATACTCGATATATATTATAATATAAAAGCTCAAGAAATGTCCAATATATAAAAGCTCAAAAATGTCATATATATATATGTAATATTTACAATTTATAGGTTTTAGGTACAAATGACACTCTTGGCATTGTCTTATATAATGATTTTAGACCCAATTTTAAGAAAATATTAAAAAAAATCAATTTGGTTATTGGATTTGTAATTGTCCACTCCTAGTTTTTAATAAATTTTCTTTAAAAATAAAATAACATCATTGAACCATTTTTTATATATTAAATTAAGTTTTTTTTATTTAATTAAAGAATGAATTTGATTATATTTAGAAATATGAATTTGCTTTTGAAATTTAAATTTGGTTAATAAATTTATTATTCTTTTCATACACAAAAGGTTGGTTATTTCGATTGATTGAATGTAAAATATGTTGAGTTTCACATTCAATTATTTAATTAAAAAATTGTAGAATATTTAAATTTCATCCCTCAAATTCTATTAAATTCAAACCATCCTTTTAAGGAAAAAAAAAAAAAGCCATTTTGATCTTATACACACTAAAATAGTAAGACATTAACCAATTGATAATTAGCAAAAAAGATTAAGAACTAATTGATAAGCTTTGCATCATTAAGTTGTCCTTTAGCAAATCATAATGAAGATTTTTTTTTTTTCCTTTCACTTTCGTTTTGTCATTGTGTGTGATTGTAAGAGAGAAGAATCATTTGAGTTGGTGGTGAACATGAATAGGAGGGGACAAAAAGCTGGCAATCAGTCTCTGTTTCACTTTTATTTTTCTACCTCTCTTTGCTTAGAAGGCATGTCTTGTCCCAAACTATGTTCACTTCATTATTTGGTTGGTCCAGAGCCATGCATGCTTCTCTTCCCTTTTATTCCTATTTTGGCCCGGAAATTAATGATATATCTTATGTAAACAATATTAGTTTAGAAATGCTTGTTACATGATATGTTAGTGGTGATTATTAGGGGTGCAAATCAGTTCGCACGAGCTCCAATTTGTTAGGTTCAAAACTCAGCTCGATAAAATTTAGTTTGATTTGAGCTTAGCTTGAAACTTTACGAGCCTAGAAGTTCTAAGTTCGAGCTCGACTTGAGGGTCGAATTCAACTTAAAAAATTTTAAGTCTGAATTCGGCTCGAATAAATTTAAAATAAATATTATATATATCTACATATAAAAACTTGATAATGCTCGATAATCTTTCAAGCTGAATATCATTAGAACTGAATTTAATTCGAGCTGAACTTTTTCGAGCTAAGCTCGAACAGTCACGATATAGCTCGAGTCATTTATACCCCTAGTGATTATAGTTAAATTAGCAGGGTTAATTTATAACGATGTAATTTGGAAAATTTTCAAAAAAACAAATATAAAATTTTCAAATTTCTAATTGATTCTCAAATTTTTAGAGAAGCTCTCGGTAATAATTTTATCTACCTAAAATAAAAATGTGATTTTAATGGAACAAATTGAAAATTAAAATATTTATCATCAAATTCAATAGTAGCGAATGAAATTAAATCAAAATATAGAATCACATGATTAAGCGTAATATCGAATAACCTTATTCGAATTAAAGAGCATAATAAAAATAATTTGATTAATTTTGACAAACATAAATAAATCAAAATTGATGATTAATACTTTTCTTTATGCTCATTATTTTTTAAACTATTTTTGTTTCCAAGTTTGGGGGGGAAACCAAATCAGAAAAGCAAAGCAAAATTAGGTCAACCAAAAAACAAAAGAAGTGCAAATGGCATTTTGTTGATTAATTTGGAAGAATCATAAATTAGAAAAGAAGAAGAGGGAAAGCAAAAGAAAAGAAAATTACTAATTAGTCAAAAGGGATAGCCAAAAACCCTCCTTACCCATCAACTAAAGTAAAAAGCTCAGACTGAAAAGTGGCACTTCCCTAGGTTTTCACGAACACGAGTTTCCATAGGCTTGACTCCACCATATAATTCTCCAGTCTAAAAGTAGTAGAAGTATTAAAGAACAATTTCAATTTTTTTTAATCAATTCTCTAAAAATATAACTTGCAATAAATAATAATAATATAAATAATATAAACGTTCTACTACTAAATAATATAAATAACATTACATTAAAACTATTTCCAATAATAATAATATAATATTTATTGAAAAATAATGATAATAGGATAAACATTTTTTTTTGAATTAAAAAAGGATATAATGATAGTTTATGTGATACAATTTTGTAGATATCTAGAAGTTATGATAATTACTTTCCAATATCATATTATACTAAATACATATTTGTATTATGATCAAAATCCAAGTCTTAAAAAAATGAAATCTACCCTAAAAAGTTATAAAAAACCAAAAATGTACAAGCTAAATGAGGTAGTTGGTAAGATAAAAATTAGCAGGCTCATAATATAAGTATAGTAAAATATAAATATTTTATTTTTATTATTTAATTAAGTAATGATTTTTATTTTTAATTACATTTTTTTAATTAATTAATTTTTTTGAAAGATTATCAAAAACTAAAAATACTACTAAAAAATATATCTGTCTTTTGAAAAAGCCGAGATGGCAAACTCGTAAATTTAGTCACATGCGAAAACCTTTTGCTGTGGATATCTATTCGTAAATAGTTAAACTCTACGCGTAATATACGTACTTGAAACGTATAAAATTACTATTAATACATCCATAAATACTATAAAATCTAGAAGAGAAAGAAATAGAAAATTAAAAAATAATAAGTAAGTAAAAAAGAAACCGGCACTTTTGTATAGTATAGGCCACAGACGATTTGGTCTCTCTCATTCAATGCTTTACCAAACTTACTCTCCTTTTATCTTCCATTTTCTCTCTACAACCACTTCCTCTATTTCTTCTTCGTTTTCTTCTCCTCTCCAGGTATAAATTCTTCGACTTGTTTAATGTTTCAAAGAAAAATTTAAAATAGCTTTTTGTTTTAAGAATTTCTGCCTTTTTTAAATTCCGGATTTTGTTTATTTAGTTACAGAAAACCCAAATGGAATGCGTTGAAGTGGCTTTGAAAACCAGTATTAGCAGACAGGAGATGGCTTTCAAATTTAACCAACAAGATTCTTGCGACGATACGTGGACAGTTAATGTGCAAAACGGCTCGACGTTTGATGACTCTATTGTTGACGAACTTTTAGACTTCTCTAATGAACCTGGTTTCATTGGAGGAGACGACGAAGAAGAAGAGGAAGAAAACGTATGCACTGCCTGTGTTTCTCCTAAACAAAAAGCCCTTGAAGCCGATAAACTCAGTAATGACAAAAGCTCCGATTACGATTTTGGGTCCGTTCCCGCCAGCGAACTTGGCGTTCCGGTACGCTAATTTGTTAATATCGGTGGTTTTGTTAAATTTGTTACCTGTTAAAGAGTTAAATTGTTGACAAGAGTTGCCATTTTTACAGGTGGATGATTTGTCAAGTCTGGAATGGCTTTCTCATTTCGTAGAGGATTCCAACTCGGAATATTCTGCACCTTTTCCGGCCGTTATAGTGGCCGCGAAGCCGAAACAAGAAAACTACCGTTTTGAACCCCAAAATCCGGTTTTAATAACAGAGCCTTGTTTCAACACTCCGGTTCCTGCCAAGGCTAGAAGCAAACGGACTAGAACCAGCGTTAAAGTGCGGAACCTTTGGTCGTCTTCTTTAACAGAGTCATCTTCAAGTTCTAGTTCTACAACGTCGTCGTCGTCTTCAAACCCTTCAAGTCCTTGCCTTGTCTTCCCTTCTCCGGGTATGAGCCATGAACTAACCGAAAAATCCGTTTTTTATGTAAAACCGCCTGCTAAAAAGTTGAAGAAACGACCGGCTGGTGAGTATGCAGGCGGTGGGTCTCAGCCGCCTAGGCGGTGCAGCCATTGCGGTGTTCAAAAGACCCCACAGTGGCGAACCGGTCCACTAGGAGCCAAGACTCTTTGTAACGCGTGTGGAGTCCGATTTAAGTCGGGTCGGCTATTTCCTGAATATAGACCCGCTTGTAGCCCGACATTCTCTAGCGAATTGCATTCGAATCACCACCGTAAAGTGCTGGAGATGCGAAAGAAAAAGGAGCAATCGGATCAGCCGGAAACCGATTTGGCTCCGTCGGTTGTACCCAGTTTTTGATGAAATTATTAGAGTAATTTCAAACTTAGGGAGAGCATAGTCGAACCGGAGATATCGAATCCGGTTCAATTAGGTTTCGGAGTTTAGTGTACATTTTTTTTTTCTCCCTCTTGGTGGGGTGGGGTAGGTTTGCTTAGTCATGTAGTGTCTAATTAGGGAAGACTTTTAATATTGTGATTTTTTTTTCTAGCAAAATTTTATTTATTTATTTTTTTTAGTTTTTGCTAATTTTCTTTTTCTAGTAAAAAAAAATTTATTGCCTAAACATTGTACACATTATTCCCATGATGAGATTTGCATTATTACAATTGAGTAGCTCTATAGTCTAGCATTTATTGATAATAATAATATTATTATTATTATTATGTAATTAATAGTCAAATGGTTGAGTATTGAATGGTGTAGGCTATTTCTTCACTAATTTTAAATTATTTATTTAGGTCCATTAATCCGCAACAACTTTTAAATTATACTTCCGAATGTTTTTCAAAAATTAGGTTAATTATAATTTTTTCTTATTTTTTTATTTGTATATAATTTTTTGAAACTTTCAAAAAAGCAGTTGTAGTTAATGTCAAGAGTGTGCATTTCAAACCGTTCTAAACTAGAAATCTAATCATAATTTTCGATTTGGTTTGATTCGGTTATCTAAATATTTCATATTAAGTTTTAATAGTTCGGTTTGATTTGTTTGGTTTGGTTACCCTAATATTTCATATTAAGTCTTAAATGTTACTTAGCAATACGACACTTTTTTCCAAACTTCAGTTCAATTGGGATAACCAAAATTTATTCAAACTAAAATTTATCCAAATATTTTCGATTATTTTACCCAAATAATCGAAAATCTTAACCAAAATAATCGAACTATATCGATTCGGTTTGGTTTTTTTTTTTAAATTTGCTCATCCTATTTAATATAGAAAAATTTTAAAATTAATTATTTTAAGATTTTTTTTTTGAGAAAATTTAAATGGAAAATAAATATATATAAAGCGTAATTAAAAAGGTATCAACCGTTAAACTATCTTTTTTGCCCTTTATGGTGGCCGTTGGAAAGCAAGAAATTCATGAAGAGGGATGTTGGTGCATGGTGTCATTTAAGCAAGAGAAATAGGGACAAGTGGCGTGAGATATACGCACTTCCTAAAATCTGCACCATAGGAAAAGGGAATCTGACGGTCAAGATTTATTGGTGACGGTGCTTGATAAGAGTACATGTCAGCTTTTGATGGGCACTGATTTTCCCCTTTAATATATGCTGATTTGGACCACTCTTGTTTGTATAAATGGTGTGTTTGCCCCTCTTGCATGGAAATATTAGAACAAATTAAATACTTATAAATTTTTTATTAATTTAAATAAAAAAGTATACATATAACCAAAGCGAACACAGTAAAATGAAATACACAAATTTTATCCGAATTATAAAATTAACTGTTTTGATAATTTTTATTTATTTTAGTACCGTTCTATTATTTAAGTAGTAGATAACAATTTTTATAAAATGATGCATTAAATTTTAAAAGTTAGTTCAAACGATATGTTACCGAACATAAAAAAAAATATATCAAACTCAATATTAAAATATCGAACGTATGTTAAATTTTTTTTTTTTTTAAATAAATGAATACAAGAAAGGTATGAATGTAAGAGAATTGATGTTTATCAAATGTGGACTTTGGAGTAATTTAGAGAGAAGGGAGTGTTTAAAAATCTTGTGATCATGAAAGCTATTGTTTTAAATTTTGGATTCAATTATTGATTGGACTTGTTATAAAGTGATTGGATAAATCAACACTTAAATAATTCAAATGAAACTTAATATAAAAAATAGTAAATTCATGCAAAATGAAAACCTTATCTTTGTTCAAATTTTGAAATTTGAACTGTATCATCATCATCATCATCATCATTTGTTTCTAATGAGACCAAATAAATCATTAGCTGTATAAGCTATGCCTTTGGACACATCTTGCTTTTGTTTAAATTTTCTTTTAAAGCACAATTTCTAGAATTTTAATTGTTTATTTAACTACATACCCTTTAAATTATTTATTAAAAGTTTTACTGTTTAATATAAATTTTTACTTATGTCTTTATGCCTATAAAATCATAAAAGTTTGGGTTGAGTTAGGTTTTTACTTTTTACTTATAATTTTTTTAAAAAAATTAATCTATAGATAGAAGGTTAGGGCAGAATTGGGTGAAGAAAGGATAGGATTTGCCAATTCAGCATTTATTCTCGATAGCCATTATTGTCTACTCCAAAGAGTAGTTGTAAGATAAGGTGATTTTGATGAATGCAATGAATCCCTTGATATGGGTAGTCAATACTCAATTTGCACCAACATAATACTTTTTCTTTTCTTGAAAATGGAAATGCATTTAAAAAAAAAAAAAGTGGATATATTTTATTTTAAAAAATGGACATATTTCTTCCAATAATTTGTGTTTTAATCATATTTTTATGAATTTTAAAATATTACATAGAAACATAACATTTGTTTGCACGTATATTTGTGTTTGCAATATATTACCATAGTCATTCAGGATATGAAAGTAATCTCGTTTCGGAACATGTTGTTATCCTCTCTGTAAATGCTTATTCCACTGACTAAATCTTTAATGTTATAAAAGTTTTTCACTGAACACAAGTATACCTCATCACTTTTGAGCCACTTCGTAGGGTACTATTATATTTAGTCTTTTGATTATTAGCTATTTTTTTGTCTAAAGTTTTGAATATTTGTTTATTTTGGAAAAATTGATAAAAAATATAAATAAACAAATAACAAGAAAAATTCTACGAGTGGTCAAAAATAGTATTTGGTAATTTGAGATGAGGTAGATGCACGTGCTTCCCACTAAACTAGTTGAGCTACGAAAGGTAAATTCTAAACCTGAGACCCAAAATGTATATAAACAAAGAAATGGAAAGGTGGGCACCAATTCTTACGTGCTACTATCAAGTGATGGCTATATCCCACCAATTCTAACCACTCCTATGCATCTATAATGGCAATGTACAATTAACAAAAAAAAAAAAAAAAAATCAAATTTCTACCTTATATTGTGAAATACATTTGTTTAAAAAATATATATTTTAATAATTTTTTTAAGATTTCTTTTGTTGATTATTTTGATTGAATTCTATAGATTAAACCTCGTATTATCTTTATAGATTTGCATTTTATATTGAATTTGTAGTACGGTGAGAGATTTAAATTTTAAAAGCATTTAATAATTGAAATTTATAGTGCGTATGAAAGAAATGAATTGCACAAAATTTTATAAAATTGATTTGAAAATCTAAAGTTTTTGTATTTGGAATAAAAAATACATATTTAAATTCTATGGAATTGAATATGCTAATTCACATTATATTAAAATTGGTGGAATTTCTAAATAAATTTCATAAATTTAAACCAAAAATTTATTTAACAAAACTACCCTTCACTGTAGATAACTATTTCCTTTTCCTTCCTTTTTATTTTTTTTAAATTCCAAAGTAGTTATTACTATAAAACTACAAATATAATTAAAAAGTAATTACATTTTTTAAATATTTTTGTAGTTTCCAAATTAATTATTTAAATGAATAAGACTTTTTCCACCAATTAAAGATAACTACTATGATGAATGTTACTCTATTTATTAACTATAAAACTACAAATATATTAAAAAGTAATTAACACTTTTTTAAATATTTTTGTAGTTTCCAAAATTAATTATTTAATGAATAAAGACTTTTTCCACACAATTAAAGATAACTACTATGGATGAAATGGTTTACTCATAATATATATATATAATATATATATATATATATTATATATATATATAATATATATATATAAGTAAATTAACAGTTAATTAATTAATTAGAGTGAAATGTGAGTGTATTTATTCACGAACCCATTTTCCGTGGGCCGGACCGGCACTAGGGCCCAGGTAAGCCTTAAGGCCCCCCAGAGGCCCGTAGTAAGCCTGAAATCGGTTAATCTATTATCTCGTATAAAATTTCCACATTCAACCCATATGATTACGAAAGATAAACCTCGATATTTTATTAAATCTCGGCCCAAATTTATCGGCTACAACATTCCACAGTTCGGGCCTAATTAACAATGCATTACATTTATTAAATGGGTTTACATAATTATCTCATCTAAATATTAAACGATTAAAAACTCTTTAGTATACATAGCTTTTTATACACATAATTACATAGTGAAATAATTATAGAACTAGGAAAATTTCTCTATTGCTCTGCGCCGAAGAAACATAGTCTAAACCGGATTAAAGAAAAACTTACTTCCTGAAAAATCAAACAAGACGTGTGAGTTTTCTAAGGAGTAATAATTATTGCACAACACACACAGTCACACAAATGTGTACACATATTAATCTAGTCACCCGACTAGTTATATGCTCACGCAGCCAGTCACACAAATGGCATATCACCAGCACTCACAATCATAAACATCTTCATATAATCACATCACGTGGAAGAAATAGTCAGTGGCGGCAACCTGAAACCCCAAACGGAGCCGTCCTCACACATGGCTCGCCCTCTCATACATGTGCACCAGGGAAGCCGATCCCCCCATACGGCCAACTTGGTCTAAACTCCTTCACCTGGACCAGTCCTCTCAGTATTTTTCCATTCCTCTCGTTTCTTTTCCATAACAACAGGAGGCACCCCGGTGTTTCTCCATTCCAATCTAGATCATCAAGTGCTCACAACAGGAGGCCACCCTGCGGGCTACAATCAAATCTAGATTTATTAAGGTGCCGCAACAACAAGAAGCCATCCTGTGAATTTCCCATATAATCTATATCATCAGCGTGCACAAGGGCGGCGCCGATCTTACCCATTTTCCGGCCGACGGTCAAATGTCAAACTCATAATCCGGATCCATATCACAGGACCGTCCTCCAACAAACCATTGGGTGGTCCAACTTCATCCCAATTCCACACAAACAAGGCACCAACATATTCACAGCACAGGCTAATCAAACAATGCCAAATCCAAATGCAGGACATATAAATCAATTAACATCGTTAATGCGAACTGGCACAATTAACACCATCCAAAATCAATGCAAATAAATAAATAAATAGTATATAACAATAAACACAATAATAAATAAAAAATAAATACAATAATAACATCAATAATGAAAAACCAAATAAACTAAAATATGTAAACATGATTAAATGCGTAATAAAGATAATAAATAATCAGAGCACTCTATTTATTATGTACCAAAGTTTATAGAACTAATCTACACTTAAACTTAT